CTGGCCGTTCGGCCGGCAGCCGTAGGGGCTCATGCGGTCCAGCAGAGCGACACCCAGCCTTCAGGCAGGGAATGTGCTGTGGATGGAGTGGCCTGAAAAGATGAATTATTTCTGACCGGTGTGGCTGGTCTCGGTTCTGAGCTGCTGCCTGCCCACATTGCGCAGCGTTATTTACCACCATGGTAGTGGCCTTATTGTGCCATTTTTAATCGTGCTGATTGAGGTAAATACCCGTACCGTGCTAATCCCAAAAGATACAAAGGCACTTCTGCTTCCTAACCCACTGCGCAGTACAGACTGCTGCACAGGAGGCAAAACTGGGAAAACGTTGCCTTTACTTGCATGGTTGTTACGATACAGCTTCGGGTTTAGATGTTGATTTTTGTAATTACTTAAATCCAAAAGTGGAACTTGAGGTTTCAACAATCCGTGTTCAGATCCATGTTTTGTATCTTGATGTAATTTCCCCCAAAAGGTAAATTTTGAGTGGTTGGTAGTTGGGATTTTACATAGTTGTGATTTTATATAAATATGCACGTTCGTGTGTGAGAGATGCATCTGAAAATACATATTCTTGATATGGATACCTCATTTACCCTTAATTGAGTGCTGCTTTCTGCGAACCTGATGGACCCCTTTCTATGCACGCGTCCTAACTCCATAGCCTGACATTCTTGGGAAGAATCCTTCATTCTGTTGGACACGGAATGAATTGATAAAGGGAACACCTGAAGTCAGAAGGTTGCTTTTAACCATCAGGTTCTTCTTGATCTTATTTGTGGACTGGCAGATGAAAACAACCTTTACTCCCGCTTCTGCTTGTGCTTCTTTTCTTTCCTATTAATCAAGCCAGGCTTTGAATTAAGAATTATTTTTTGTATCAAATAGTCTCATTCTTCTAGACGTTGTGTTAGCATTTGGGGCGGATTTCAGGTACTATGTAGCCAGGGATCTGCATTAGTTCAGAGAGCTGACTTTAAAAAAAACCATTGGCCACAAATGTATTGATTTAGCAGAGCCTGCCACGCTGACAGGTTATTATTTTCTTAAATAAGTTTAATGAGATGTGCACTTTCTGGAATAATTTTCATTAATGTTGGTTTGGTTTCTGATCCTCTTTTTTTTTTTTATGCATTAGTTACGTTCTTTTTTGTTTCTTATCAGAGTTGGGGAAATGCTTTTGTCTAAAGTACCAGAAAAACTTACTGGGATGCTGGGTCGGGTTTTCGTGTCAATACTTCCAAGAAGCGTTGGGGAGAAATCAAAGGGGGGCTACGAAACCACTGTAAGGGGCTGGAATATCTGAAGCTGAAAGAGCATAACCTATTGCTTCGATAAAAGGAGCGGACTGCTGTGGGACATTCCGGGGCGCTCTCACAGGCCAGGCCAGGCCGAGCCATTGTTTAAACAAATACAGCCTTTGGGAAAGATGGGGAAAAAAAAAAAAAAAAAAAGCTGTAAAATGGGGTCATTGAAGGGGCCCCTTTGTGTTGAGGTCGGCAGCGTCTGCCTCAGCCCTTCTGGCCTGCGGATGTAAGAACCAGCCTTGTGTCTCGCGGTTTTGAACTTCACTGATTTCTACTTTAATGTGAATACTTAAGGGCTCTGAAAGAAATACTCGTATTCTGTGGCTCCTGCTGGCAAATACCTGGAATTACCCTTGAATTTATGGCACTGGCTGATCTTTCGGTTTTCCTTTCAGGATTTTGAACTCTGACCCAAGTGCTGTGGAAAGAGACAGCAAAATAGGGAGAGAGAAGGCGTTTAGTTATTTTTAAATACTAAAGAAATTAATAATCCATGTACTTAAATAGCTGACACTGGTGGAAATACATCATTTTCAGGAACAGTCATATTGTAGACTTCGTGTGCAAGTTCTGCCGTTTGCTCCCAGGCGGGCGCAGTCTGCACCCCTGGCCTGCTCCCCTTCCAGTCAGCGGGCGCTCTGCTGAGCAGGGCTGCCTCCGGAGCCGCGCCTTAGGACAGCTGTGCTGAAAGGAATGAAGGCTGGTGGACCTCAGAACTGTCATACTCACCTTAAGCTGACAACTTGACATTTTTAAATCTATTTAATCCTCTTTTGTCACATCAGGTAGGCTTCTGACAGCTCGCCTTGCTCCCCTTTCACCCTGCAGCCCCCCGAGGGCAGGGGTACGTTGGAAAGGCGACCGCTTGCTGGGTCTGGTCTTTCCAAACTCGCTGCCTGCAGAGTGCGTGGCCCTCTCGGGGGAAAGCGGTTCCTTCACGGCCCGCCCGGGCGGGCTGGCTCTGCGAGCGTTACCTGTGTAACCGTGGCATGGTGAGCGTCCCGCTGCTGGTCGTCGTTCCGGGCCTCACGGCGTTCCCAGGCACCGCAGCCGTGCAGGGTCATAAACGGATCAACGCGGTGGGTAGGCGGTCTGTCAAATACTTAAGGTGGCGCCTCTTTTCCAGAAGAGTGACTAAAATACCGCTTCACTTGACTTAGAGGTATGTTTATCCACTACCCCACTTAAAGCGAATTTTGGTTCAAATCACCTACGTGATGCAGTACAGCAGGAAGTGATGTCATGAAGTACTGGCAGAGCAACCTGGAGCCAACAGCAGGTGGGAAGCCTCCTCCTTTTGCCTGCTTTCCCTTCCCTGGAAAACACCGTACACACTTAACGATAAGGATTTGCAAGGAGCAATTTGAGATGACCTACATTTAGGTGTGCAGTGAGGGATTCCGTCACTGGTACAGCGCTGACACCCGCCTGTGCAGTTAGCTGTTGCCGTTTTCATTCTCACTCTCACACCGGAGCAGACGTCCAGGGGAAGTTTTAAGAGTTCAGCAGAGTTTTAATCAACCAAGAAATAAGCTCGTAGTCTCTGGTCACCTGTGGGGTAGCTTGACTGGGAGGACGGGAATGGTGCTTCAGCAGATAGAGACATGTAAAACCTTCAAAGCAGGGTGCTGAAGGCTTAAAGTTGTCATTAAAGCAGTTTCCTTGCTGTTTAAAGTGGGCGCAGCTGACTGGACGTAAACAGCTGGCAGCTGCACCAGGGAGAGGATCTACAGCGGCCTTGGAGAAGGGTTCTTCCCTGCGCCCGCGCTTCTCCAGGGAGGCAACGGCAGCTCCAGGCGGTCCTTCTGCCACGGCAGCTGTTACAAGGTAGGAAGCCTCGGGATGGCAGCTGTGGGGAACGGCGCAGTGAACAGTGCTGGACAAGAACTGGTTTGCACTGGAAGTTGGACTGGGTTTGGTACAAATACCAAGGTACGAGGCCCTGGCAGTAATTCCTGTACGTCCTCTCCTCTGTCTCCATGGCTGGGTGGCACGATTCAGCTGCTGTCCTTCAGCAGCCACCGCTGCTTCCTCAGTTACGTATTTATTCCCCAAAACCTACGGCGATAGGAACCTTGGCTGTGATCAGCAGTGGATACAGCAAAATTAGTCACTTTTATTTAAAAGAAATAACATATTACAAATAAGTGTGCAAAACAATTTCTGTGATTAAATACACGTAAAAGCAACATGCAACCTTGACATCAAACTGCGTAGAAGTTAGTCCTTAGTATGTTACGGGACACTAAAAGAAACTTGTCAGATGGAGAGCTTGCAGCTAAACAATCTCAGTGTGCGGTGGCGTGTCGGGTTTGAAGCATCTGTGAAGTTAAATTTCAGAAGAGCCAGACCCCCCTCCCTCCCCCAGGTATTTAGTGCTGTGAAGGGAGAGCCCGTGGCTATTTCTGGGTTGGGTTTAGTATCTTGTGCCTTAGTTCAGCAGTAAATATTCATTGCCATATAACAGTTGTGGGGAAGAGCTTACACGTCAGTTGGTTTAGTTTAACCTAACTGTCCCTAGGCCAGCAATATCTCAAATAAAAAAAAAAAAATAAAAACACAACACAAAAATTCCAACCCAAAACAAAAAAAAACCCAAAGTTTGCAAGTTTAAAGCCGGTGCAGAGAAGTACACTTCATGCCACCTGGTTCAGTTATTGTGCTGGATGTGTAAGCAAGGGGCCTGTCCTGTCTTCTGGCTGCAGCTCAGCGATTTCGGAAGCTGGCGTAGAGCTGTCGGCCCAGCACTGAGGGTGGGATTAAAACCCGGAATGGCTGCTCCGTTACAGAAGGAATTGCCTCTACAGAAAGGGGCGCTCTCCCTGCCCGAGCACCCTGGCTGCTTGCTCCACGTGCCCAGGCGCGGTTCGCTGGCTCAGCCGGCGCCCGAGCATGCCTTCAGCGACTCCGCGCCGTCTGGCACCTTTGACAGCGCCGCTCGCTCAACCAGCGGGGGCACGGGGGGGAGCTGCCCGCTGCAGCTGCACGACTGCCCCCCACCCCCCGTACACCAGGTCTGAGGACAGGCGTGGCTCGAGCTACAGTCAGCCGTGGCTGCGCGCTTGTCCCCCCTTCCCCCCCCGTTACTCCGGAGCAGTGCCTGAAATCTTCTGCTTTCACATCCCTTTTCCAAGGCTCGTTGTACATTCGTACGGCCCCCCCGCGGCTCTCAGCATGGCAGGCACTCATGTTCAATGGGAAGTCATTTCATAGTTCAGATTAAGAGAAACCCAATAGGCACAAGCTTGTGGAAAGCCGCCATCTTGAAAACTTGAGTTGATGACAGGAACCCAAAGAGACTTTAATGATGAATACTTGCAGAAATGAGAATAAACATAAGTAGTCCACTACTTCAGAGCTTGTTCTGATCGTGTTGGGCCAGGCTTCTCGGTGAGGTCTGCTAAACTTCTTGACCAGTCTTGGACATTCGTATACTGTCCTTCCAAAGATGTGGAGTAGCCAAGGCAGTGCTTTGACCCATGCACGCCCTCACCTCAGTCAAAGCTTGTCGTCCGTCATTTCTAGAAACTGAGCATAGACATCCCTTGAGCATTCCCCTTTTTGGTTGAATAAGAACTTGTAGTAGCTGCCATCTGCACATATTGCTGAAACAAAAACAAACACGGTCAGGTCCCCTGCTCCAAGGCAGCCGTTCTGTTCCTTCAGCTACAGCTCAAACTGCAACCTCTCAAGCTCGGGGAGCATGCGGAGGGGTGCGCTGGAGGAACCTGCGGTCAGCCAGCCCAGCGCTGCGCCCACCCCGGGCGCTGCTGGATCTTACTCCCTTGCAGCGCTGTGCTCCTGTTCTCAGCTGACAGGGGCAGGCAGCGTTCTCTCATCTGAGCGTTCCTCCAGCTCAAAGCCTGGTTCTCCAGACAGAACCTGGGGAAGCCTCCAGCACTTACCTATGACAGCGTTTGGCTCCGTTCCAAAGGCACAAATGCACGGAGAGCCTGAGGGAACCTGAAATTTGGAAAAACTCCATTTGGAACTGAAGTATTTGGGGAGAAAGCTGGCGGAGGCCAAACTGAAAAAGAGAGAAAGAAAAAAAAAAAAAGCATAACCACCGAGTAAGGTGTTTAGTCGACTAGAGTTGACTGAGAACTGCTGGTGTCTTTGAACAAGTCCCCAGGTTCACCCCAGCTGCTATTTTTGATTGGCTTTTTATTTTCTTCTCCTAACTGTCAGGTAATATGTATGATTCCCCTTCTGGGGACACCCTACAACCAGTTTGCTGGCTCTGTATTTTTAAGTGACTGCAAAAATTGCTGAAAGGATTGATTTTGTTTGTTTGTTTGTTTTTAGTAGAGATTGCTTTATGTGAAGTGTCTGCAAAGTATGTTCAGGCCAAGAGACAGCCATGGATAACTCACCCTGACTTTCTGCTGGAATTCTACAGCTCCTCAAGGACAGCAGATAGGTGGCAGCTGCTGTAGAGCCCTAAACCTGCAACTGCACTCGAGCACAGCAGATTCATCTTGCCCCCTCCAGCAGTGTAGGGATTCGCCACTGCTTGACAGGACCAGTGTGCTGAGCTCTGTTAAAAGTCCAAGGCCCTTCCCAGCCCCACCCCCCCCCGAAGTCTCCAGAACGGTTCAAACCCTACCTTGACTGCTTATTTCTTTTAGGGTCTTCTGCAGCAAAAATATGTACTGTGCCATGGTCGCTGGAGACGCAGATGAGGGAAGCATCCTGGTTGAAGTTAATACTGTAGAGGATACAGACAGTTGCAGTATTTCTACCAGATGGGACCTGCAGCTTCTGGCAAAGGCTGTTCTGCTGCAGTTGCCTAGGGCAGCTGCCAGGCAAGGGGTCAGCCCCTCCTCTCTGGAGGGGCTGGGACTCCCCCAGTTCAGCTGCTCTGGAGAGGATGAACAGCCCCTTCCGTGGGAACAGAGGGCCCGGGTGTCAGGAGCAGCCAGGCTGCCCTGAGGCGGACGCAGCGGTGTGGGCCATTCTGCCACTTCTGCTGGATGAAACTGCGCCAGCTCTGCTCCAAGGAGTAGGCAAGTACTGGAGAAAACATGCCACGCTCCCACCCCGGAGTGGTGCTAAGGAGAAGAGAAGCTTCCCCACCCCAAGAGAGTGCTTCCAGCAGGGTGTAGTCTCAAATGCGGTCTTGGGCTCACGCACACAGAGCAGTGCTGTGTTGTAACGAACCTCTGCTTGCCCCGGGTGCTCATCCTTGTCTCTGCCTCACCGCATTCCCTGTATTTTGGTGTGAAGTGGAAGCACTGCCCCCCACTACTGTTTACGCAGAGTGGTGGACCTGGCAGAAGGTTTTGTCCCAACCCCTGTAACCCCCCCCAGGGGCTGCCAGCTCCTGTGCTCTCCCCCAGCACCGCCCACAGAGGAAGCAGCGTGGGCCCGGTGCAGCCCTGGGACCTGACTGCCAGGGGAGTTCTGTTTGTGCCCGCAGCAGCGTAACTCTGCTTTGCTTTTTGATGGCAACTGGGGTGCTGTTTACCAGCCTGCCTTGGCACAACTCTACCCACAAGACACCAAAGCAGAAGCAATTAAACATACCAGTATATATTGGCTGCCTGTGATCCTCTTCGTAGCTCCTGGATTAAATGCCCTGATGAAGTATCAAATATTCTTATGAGGGTCCCCTTGAAAAGGAAGCAAGTGTTACATTAGGAAAGGCAGAAGACTTTCCACATCTGTGAATGCATCCTAAAATTCTACCTGACCCACATGCCCCTACATACACCACGGGGGTTTTCATCTCAGTAGATCTGAGAGAACCTTTCTTAATCGTAGTTTTTGGGACAAATATTGATTTCCCCCCACCACCCTCTCCACACTGTTACAATGCTTTGCTGTACAACCTTGTTCCTTAGCTACTCGTCTAAGTCAGTCTCACCCCGGTTGCACTCTGAAGCAGCAGGGCAGCCCTGGCATTAGCTTGCAACCATTTGAGTAGGCGTGGGTACAGCCTTCTGTCCCCAGGTGCCACGAGTCCGTCCTCTCTTGCTCCCCATAGTCAGTACCTGTTTTGACTGCTACTGTGCAATTTTTTTTTTTCATGTAAGTATAATCAGCCTGTGGAGGGTCTTGCCTTACAATTAGTTCTGCTGAAGTAATCTAGAAGGATTAGTTCCCTATCACATGCTCATTAACTGTATAGATCCACATCTGAGAGACCTCATAGATGAGTTGGGTCACAGAATACGGCCTTAGAGAACTGTGCTTCAGTTGCAGTAAACGCAGCTTGACACCGGAGATGTAAAACAAGCCAGTGCACCCTGGATAAAGCCATCAATGACTCTGTAGTCCTTGGTCTGATGAAGTGTGGGTATGCAATATCACCTACAACTCCTGTTACCCACCTGGTTAACAAATGCACCTCTCCAGTCGCACACCAGTAAAGAACAGAGCCCAGCAGAGAAAGATCCAGGTAAACGTCAGCGTAGTTTTGATTTAAGGCATGAGCTTGGGGTATTTGCTTACAGTATGCTCAGTATGGCACTTTGGCCATACTCCTATTTCAGTTCAAAAATACTGTTTGAACTTTTTCTCTAAATAAGAAAGGAATGTCTTAATACAAATTCAGCAGGTCGTTATTCTATTTAGCAATGGAGTTGGCAGTTTTAAGAGCTTTGTTTAGAAGACACACAGTAATTAAGCTTAATTAAGAGAAACTGTGGATGTATTTTATTTTTTTTTAAGCTTTTTGAGCTATAGGCTGTGCAGGAGAAACTATTCCAAACAGAGATTTTCTGGATTAATTTAGCTTGTCCTTGAGACACTCGTTTCAGCTGAGTGGAGGAAGGTAGCGAGTACCCAGTGCCGCAGGTCGATGGGTACATCTACCTTGCGTTCCTTTGGCTGCTGTGGAACCCAGCGTCCTTGGGGAGAGGCAGCTCGCTAGCAGGCTCCACGGGAGCTGCCAGGGAGAAGGCAGGGCTGTGACTGCTTTGCACTCTCTGCATCAGCCCAGGGATTTGTACTATCCAGTAACTTCAGGTTTTTGTCAGCATATTGCGGTCTTTAGCCCTACGTAACATTCGGCCGCACACGATTTGGTGAATATTCCAAGAACCATTTGATCATTTGCACTCTGTATGAAAACATCTGCAGCGCGTGTATGAGAAGCGGGCAGAGCACCTCCCTCCTGGTCTGTAACAGGAGTTGCGCCAGAGCAGAACTAAGCCCTCCAGTATGACAGACCTATTTGCCAGTATTTCTTTAGCCAGTGGTTTTAAAGTGAATTTAAGCAGAAACTAATAGAGGTGAAAGAATGCAAGTACGCTTCCCCCCTCCCCTTAATATTTAAAATTAATAGTATTTGTTGAAGAATATGTGAAATGTGAACTGCTTGGGCATTCAAACGCCACCGAGGGGTCACTGCTGCAGTCAGCTAGAACACAACTGCTGCCTTGGGCACTGCCTTTGGATATCCTCCAGGAGCAGTAAAGATAAAGACAGACTGGGAATGCATACTTCAATGGCAATTTTCCCAGTTATTCCTGTGTCTTTCCTATGAAAGGATGCAGCCTCCTATTTCAGAAGGAGCTGCTACACTAGAATGCATAGTAAGTCAGAGGAGGGAGGATATTATTCTTACTTTTTCTGATGCTGTTGCAATTCTTGTTCCCTGCAGGTTTAAAGCTATACAGCTCAAGACTCCCTCGTGAGCCGGTATGTCGACAGGAGGCTTTTCTGTATTAGCGAGATCCACTATCTGCACGTGCCCAGTGTGTGTTCCAGGAAACGCAAGAAGAGAATTATTACTGTTTGGACAAAGGACACAGAGACCTAAAGGACAAAGAAAAAAAATAGAGACAATAACTGTGTAATTCCCACAACCTAATAAAGTTCTCAAACATAAGTTTCTAAAACATCTAAAATTTCAGAACAAACCAACATACAGGAAGTAAATGAGAATTTCATTTTAATGGCTATTGCGGTATCCCAAAACATGATCTGGCCCTAAGTGCAGAGCAGAGAGAAGTAGCATAATTTTAACTTGCTCTCATCACTTTATCTCAAAGTAATCTAGTTGTGGTTATCTGAAAGCTGGTTGTTTTCAGAGATGAGCTCCATCAGTCTGTTACGGCAAAGCTATTTAAAAATAAGAGAAGAGTCTCCTTAGCAGCTCAGAAAGGGTAAGAGTTTCTAATAGGTGATATTTTAGTTTCTCTTCTGTCAGTAAAACTGATTATTATTAATTCATCTTTGAACTTTGTTCTTATGGTACTTGCACTTTTTTTTCTTCCTAACTTTGCAGGCTGTTCATGGTAAACTGCATCTCTCCCAGGTGTTCTGCTGATACCTCGTAAATTCCTGCAAACTCAGCCCACGGCAAGTGGAGCAATGGGTGGGTATCGCAGGGAACACCACTCCCCCCACCCTGTCCGTCAGCAGGCCAACTCTGCATTTAGGCTGCGCTGCCCTGAGCGCAGCCAGCAATTCTGTGTTTGCATCCAGCAGGCTTGAAAACCTCTAAAGGTGGGGACTCCAAGCCTAAGCAACCTCCTGGTGGAGAAAACATCTTCCTGACATCCAAGCTGATCCTCCCAAGATACCAAGCATGGCCCACACCCCTTGTTCTCCTGTCTGACACTAGCAAGAAGAGTTTGGCTCCATCGTTTCTGTAACTGTCCTTTAAGCAGCTGTAAGCCCCCAGTTGCAGACAGCCCTTCACAGCCCCCTTCTTGCACAAGTAAACAAGCCCAGCTCCTCACACTCCCTGCACAGGCCCTGTGCTTTGGGACCCTGACCACCATCAGTGAGGGCACAGCTGGGCCCAGATGCAGATGTTCACACAGCTGCCATTACACCCCTCCCATTTTACACCTTGGGGCATAGCTGGGCTTAAGCGTGCAGCTGATGTGGGAGTATGCTCACCTCTTCCCTGCCAGGGCTCTCCTTCCAGACGGTCCCTCCCTTTTCCAATAAAACCCACTGCAGCAAACCCGCTTCCTTAGGTCAAACCCACGCCTGCCTGGCGCCTAGAGCTGCCATCACTGAGCCTGCCACACTAAGACTGTGCTTGGCTCAGGGCTCCGTCTGCTTGTTTCAACAAAAGACAAGGCCATACCTTGCTATTTAAAAAGAACAATATCAGCTTGCTAATTAGGCTCTTTTTGACACTGTAGAGAATAGTTTGCTAGACAGTTCTAGCTCCATTTGGAGAGAGGAACAATGCACCTTAATATAGTTTGTGTTTATAATTAAGCTTTCAGCACAAAATACATCAAGTTTAAAGGTTTTTTTTACAGAAGAAAGCATATAGCTCTTCTAGAAATCAAATCTGTAACACGAGTACATGAAAAAAGCTTTTCTGCACCAAGTATGAATAAAAAGTTTTAATAACCATCTTATAAACACAAAGGGCAAGTCTAGAGTGCAGTAAGAAAACTGTTTAAGGACTTAGTAAACAAGCCGACTCAAGCAGCTAAAGATAAATAGCATGTCGAGAGCAGAATAAACTCACTTCCATACATACAACTAACCTTTAGGGTTGTAGCAGGTTTCAAAGACGTGCAGCTGGTGGGGATTGTGTGTGAATGTGAAAACTTTAATCATCGAGTCCAAGACTACCACAATTCTGAAACAGACAAGAAGTTCCTATGACTTGGGGTGGGTAAAACAGGGACACAGATCGTGATTCACATCAGCAAAGGCTTTCAACTGATTCAGTGGCTAGATCTTTTCTTTCCCCCCTCACTACAGACGTACAGCCTTGCAAAAACCCATGCGACTATGAACCTGCAAAGCACTTCCATCCAACGCTGTGACAGCAGAACCCCTCTGCCCACACATGCACAGACTCCAGCTGCTAATAGCTGCTCTTGCTCTAGAGATCCGCTTGAATTCCCTTCACACTCCTCCATACCTAGAAAACATCAGCGGTAGCCACACAAGAACACTTCCCTACATCAGGGGGCCAGAAAGCCTTACAGGCTTCTCACCGAGGATTTGGCTACCAATATTTGAGCTGTGATCTGTTCATACCCAACGCTTGCCCCAAAAGCCCATTTTACCCTTAATTGCTGGTGGTGTTTATTGAGGTGTTAAAGCAGGATCTTCTTCCTTCTGCAAACAGCTGGAAATGAACAGAAGCGTACAAAGCCAAGCTGTGCATTTGGAACATGGGTTTTGTACCTACCTGTCTCTTCGCAGCTTGACTGCTTTGACTTCTGTCGAAAACTCTATCTCAATGACAGTCTTCTTCTTCAGGTCATCCCAGATCATTACTAGAACAGTGCAGAGATTGCATTAGTTCATCAAGGCATATCCACAGATCCGCATTGTCTCCATTACAGCAACTTCTAGTTTCTGAGAAGGCTAATCAAGAGGAGCATCCAATAGCTAAGCAGTTACAGGTTGGCATCCTGCTCCCCAGAAGGCATTTAGCTACTCCACATCAACCCACTCTTTCATGCTATGACTGGTGCAGGTAGGAGCTGGTAAACTCTGACTACAAAAGCTGACAATAAAAATACATTTTTCAAAGGACAATCAGCTAGCCTTTTTGTTTTGCTCTGAGGGTTATCAAAGACATAAGGCAGCAGTCAAAAAAGGTAGCATATTTTCCTGCAAAGCCTGCCACCCAGGGCCCTTTCCCCCCTCCGGCTGCTGAGCCATCGAGTCTCTTTGCAAAGTTAACTGTGAGATAAGTACAGACTTTGTCACCAGGTCTCGGAGACTGGTCATGGCAGGTACCTGCCCCTTAACACTGCAACAGCAGCGATGCGACTTACTTCACCACATTTACTTAAACTGCTGCAACATCCCCTCCATCCTGCCTTCAGAATACCAGACCTCAGCTCAAGGCAGTTTCAGACAGATTGCAAGGCAAACATTTACACGAGCTGTTCCTCAAGACTCACCTTTGTTAGGTGGGTACTTCGGCTTTTTCCCTCCACCTACTAGTGCTAAATAGTTGCAACGGAACAGCATTTCGACATGGCCAACACCACCTTCTAGAAATTCTGAAAGAAAAATGTATTTCATTTAAAAGCAATAGAACCTGTTAAAATGCCATCTAATCTTTACCACTGTTACAAGAAAAGCTCCCGTTACCTAGCGCTTCTCTCGAGCACCTGAGAAGAATAGCATCTTCCTACCCTGGCTGACCTTAAAAACCTCCAAATCCTCTAAGACTGGGGGGGACAGACAAGAAATCCTGACTAAAAGGGTGGGAGTTTTGGGGGGGGGGTGGGTTATTTGTTTGGGTTTTTTTGTGCTTGTTTAAGATTAGGATTCTCAGCAAAGTCACTATTTTTCACAGCAATGAAGATGACTACTGTTGTTGTCACACAGTCTGGACAGGCCTCATTTTCCTATATAGAAAAAACACAGCAAGGTTTTGAAGTTATATTAAAATATGCTGTATGAGAGGAGATCAAGCAATGTTCTCATGGCAGCTTGATCATTTCTATTATACAGTGGGTTTGTAAGTATGTTTAGAAAGACTGTCCAGTTTGCTCAATGCATTCCCCTCACGCACATACATTCCAAGTTGCTCTATTATGCTAATGCCATGCATTTAGAAAAATACCAGTGGTATTCATTAGTCACGAACCTTTTTATTTGCAAGGGGATTTGTCTTTACAGACTCGGTTGAGGAAAGAAGGCAAAAGGCGCATGTATGTAACTGAACTAGACTGCAGTGCTGTTCTCTGGAGCACACCAGGTCTAGCTCCAAGCCTTCACTCAACAGTGCAGGAAACCGTGAAAGCAAGATACATTGGCTGGTGCAGGCAGCTTCTCATTTATAGTGCAAGGAAAAGGTAACTTTCTTTTTAAAAATCTCAGCTGCAGAGGAAGTAGAGTAAGATGCCATGCTTATGGTTCAAGTGGAGGAACAAAATACCACCCAGGGGATTTTTTAATAAAAGCCTTTTTCAATTTGATGGCATTTGAGTGGGGGCTTGGCTTTGTTTCCATAGCTTAGAGGGATGCTTGGCAGCCAAGTGGGGAGGGGGAACTGAACTGTGAGGAGAAGAGGCCGTAACTGTGGCCTTCAAGGCAGATGAGCAGAGTTAAACTCCTCCTTTAAAAGACCATCCAATAACTCCGCACACTGGCAGGTGGCAGCAGGAAAAGCAAATGAAACTAGTAAACATTTCAAAGCTAGAGGAAAAAGTTGAAATTTCACAAGGACTCAAGAGAGACCTACTGTCAGAAATAGGGATAAACCAGCGAAAATGTCCGAGGAGCTGAGAAGCGCTACAATGGAAAGATGTAGACATACGCATGAAGGATAGGACAAGGGAGATTCAGTTAGACGTTAAGAAGCACTGCAGTACATCTGGATGAGGAATTTATGTTGGGACTTGAAGATACAACACTGAAGGTAGATCGCTAGAAAGATATTCGTACTGGAGCAGTAGTCTTGGATATCATACAAGTCTTTGTGGTTTCTTCAACACCACTTTTGACTGCCGAGTTTCCTTCCTGAACAGCTGTATTTGGACACTACCCCCTTCTGCACCCACTCCTCCTCTTAACTCTATTAAAGCATTTAAAGCATGACAGCACATTTTGTTATGAAGAGGTATTATCACCGCGACAGTCTTAAAATATTTATGAATGATAAGCTGGGACAATTTAAGAATGTGCAATGTGTTCTGAATCTGTCTTAGAACAGACACTTTAATCATGATCTTTACAGTTCTGACAGGTGATGCTTGGATGGGGAACTTCATGGAACTCCTGGGTATAAGAAAGATAAGCCAGGGTGTGACAGTTAAGACTTGGTTTCACACTGGGTTATAAAAATCAATCAAATAGACAAGCTCCATCTGGGATTCTTTCTGGTAGGTTTACACATGAAGGATGAACAAGATTTCTCTGTGTAAACCATGCACCGGTGCAGTCTGACCTCTCAAAATCCACAGGGAAGAGGCAATCTGACTCCTAAGAAACTTTTCACCACAGGAGTCCTGGAAGTGTGGCCAGAGCCACAGGCAGGGAGAGTTTTGACAACGAACTCAACAGGACTTCAACCTGAATTCTGATCCTTTTAGCACACCATCACCATAGGCCCAAGACATGTTGCTTATGGAAGAATTTATTATTACAAACAGAAAACAGTTTGTCAGCTTTGGCCACATGAACAGTGACAGCAATCTCTTACAGCACTAGAAAGTGACAGCACGCCTGGTTTCATAGCAATCACTATTTTAAGTACATTTTCCCTCTTATTGAATCCTTTCTGTCACCACAGGCTGGAAATGCTGGGAAACTTGTTCAGCATGGCAGCTTTCTCCCTATATTTAAGGTTAGAATCACAGGTAGGTTTCACTTTCCCTTATTTTGACTCAGTTATGTTTGCTTTTGGATGAAAAGCCCCACTACCTGTTAATATAGCTCATCTAGTAATTTCTATTAAGACATGATACTAGATTTACCACCTCAAGATCCTCCCAAATTTTTTAAGCATACAGAAAATACAAAATTTAGAATATTAGAAGTCTGAGCTTACTCAGACTCAGCAGTACTCTTAGCAAGCCTGAGAAATGTTCTGTTCAGCTCTCCAGTCAGAAGGCAGCAGTTTTATTGCTGTACTAGATCATCCAGATTACCACACAAGGACAGAACAACTTCTCTTGATGGTACCTAATAACACTGCAGCGAGCAACTCTTCTCCCACTTGTGAGTAACCAGGGAACTTATCTCCTATTCAGGACTACAAACATTAGGAACAGCTAACACAATTCAGCCTCTGCAAGAAGGTGAGATACATTCATTATCAGCCAGCTTTATGCAAATTAATAGCACCTAAACATCTGACCAGGCAGCGGCGTGAGAGTCCCTTAGGGACCAGCACGGACTTCCTTGCTTGAGGCTTTATTCAAAGCCTTCCAGTGATGGAACAGCGAAAGTTAAGCAAGAACCTTACAGGAAAAGACGAGGGGGCTGAGCTTCCAACACAGAACCAGCATGGTGTAATAAGTAAGCATTTTACCTTGTTTCTCTTTTTCTTTGAGTGGATCTGCATTATAAACTCGGAATCCATTTTCCATTCCACATGCAAAGCATCCTGTAGTAAAAAGCACATATATATACACATACATATATAGTAATTGCAAGATACACTCAAGAACTAAGCAAGAGCCAGAGGGTTAAGAGGGTGTTACTCGATAACTGCATTGTTAAACTCAAGCTGAAGACCACTTGCAGGCTTTGTTAGTGTTTGCAAGTGAAAACCACTTAAGAGTTGTCCTCCATGCTGGCCTCTACTGAAAGTAGAAAGCTCTTGGTATTCTTTTTAGACAGGTAAGAAAACAATGGAGGGAAAGGAGAGCAATTCCCAACCCGTCTGTAGCCTATGCCATGCACTACAGAGGGAAGGAAACCTGCATTTTAACTTTTATGGTCCAACAGTCATTATGAAGCAAAACCCTCCTTTCTTATTAGATCCCAATTTACACCGTGCTTAGGACTGTATGAAGTATGATCCGTTGTTCATGTTTGCACAGAAGAGAGCATCTCAGACAGAGTTTTTAAGAATGCTCTAATGAGAGCCCGCTGAGTCAGATGGCAATAGCTTGTGTCTACCAGGGAATGATTAGAAGCCAGATTAAAACATTCTGGAAAATTATTTTAGTGACATTTATGTACAGAATTATGCATGTGCCTTTTTAGTGGAATCTGTCAGACTACCAGTATCCTGTCCTCCTGTTTTACTCGCTAATGGGTGAGCGCAGGTACTAACATAAAGAAGCCACTGTGAAGTTAGAAGCAACTACCATGGCTAGAGGCAGACTGACAGAAGATTAGTTGCGAGACAATTTATACGCGTGATATCAAAAATCCAGTCAAGGTCTTCAAGGTACTGGAACAAAGATGTTCAAATTAGTCTGGTTTTACCCTCATGCACTGCAAGGACTGCAACGATCTAAACCCTCCAAGTAAAAATTGAGAAGCTGTGTCTAAATGCACCCCTTCCCCAAACTCAGTACCCCAAAATCACAGGGTGGGTGGGGGAAGGAGGTCTTCACCCCTAACATAAAGCCTCCAAACTGTTCGCTCGTAGCCAGGTGGCCCATGATTTTCTACACCCAAGACTGGACTGGTTTGCTGTGGAGTGATGGCTCAGAAGCTGGCAAAGGGGCTCAGACTGCAAGAGACCGTTTTAGGTATTCCTGGTGCTAAAGGCTCACCAACAGCCAGCGATGCTCCTCGCAACACAGTCAGCTGTCCTTGTGGTTTGTGTACTATTAATATAAGCTCAGTTAAAAAACCTGCATACGCTCACTGACGAACAAGTAAGCAACATTCAATACGCATCTTCTGCTACTCATATCTGGATGCAGGTTAAGATGCCAGAAAAAAACAACACAATTGGTGATATTTTTTTTTTTTTGCTGTAACACAGAATAAAATGTTCTCTCATAACAACACAAAAACATGTAATAAACTTGATCTTGACAACCGTATTAGTTTAAAAACTCCAGAATTTGGGAAAAATAATGCAGCTGGTTTGAGATTCCTTTTCAATACTTCAAGAGTTTCATGTCAATTAGGACTACTTTAAAAAAAAAAAAAAAAAAACAAACGAAAAAAACAACCAGCCAAACACAAAACCCCAAACCAACCGAAATGCAACAGTAACAAAAAAAGGCATCACACACATCCTCTGCTTTACAGACCAGTATCTTCCGAGAGGCGTGGGGGGTTGTTCGGCAGCATCCTTAGGACTCCTATTCGCTGAACTCACACATACAAAGGAAAAACTACTACAAGATCCATCTCTGCACCCTTCAGTGTAGAAAGGAAACAAATTAACCCTCTCATTTTACATAAAGTCACTAACAGCAGAGTCACAGACCCAATATACTGGACTGTTCTAACAGTAAAACAGCTAAACAGTGAAGAAAACAAAGCGCACAAAACCCCTACTTCCCCCAACCCAAAGACTCACAGGCACAATTTCACCCTGTCCAAGACTCTGTCATAAACTAAGGGCAAAAAGTTCTTGTTTACATATGTAAATACCCTCAGAGAATGGCTAACAAGAAGATAATAATTATAGAAAGATTAACAAACGTATTGGAATAGATGCTTCACTTTACCTCCTCCCTTCTCAGCACATCATTCTTTAGTTTGCTCTGTCAGCTGAATACTTAAGAGTGCGCTGCACTGAAATCACAGCACTAATAAGCTGCCACCTCGTGCAGTATACTTTACTGGGATAACTAGAAAGCAAATTACATGGAAACATTTCTCTCTACGTAAAACAATACTGTACAGGATGAGAACTAAGCTGTTTCTGGTAGCTGTAATGTGTATCCCTATAATTATTTTTCCAGCAACAGTTTTATAACTCAATATCATATTTCCAGGGCCGACGAAGGAGAGGGATGCTGAAACTGTTCTGTGCTAAAAGAGCACCGTAAAGTTTTATTTGTTTTAATACCAGCAGCTTATAACGAACCCAAATGGAGCATTCCTAATGCAATAAAATGCAGGCATTACATTTCCTGTAGCACCATTACAGTCTTTCTGCAGGGTTAACCTCGTGACGAAGACATGGGCTGCTTTTCACGTCTTGGGAATGTCTACATTTTTAACTGGAGACAATACACCAGAACTGAGGGAACATGAGTAACACCGATACTCCCCACACAGTCGATTGTTACCGACAGATACAAAGCAATACACCAGAACTGAGGGAACATGAGTAACACAGTCGATCGTTACCGACAGATACAAAATTCTCAGTCATGGCAACCCCTGAGCCAAACAAGAGGAAAGAAAAAAACACATACAGGAAGATTACTGCTGCTCATTCAATTCCAGGTTACAGGAACAGCTTTGGAGCCCAGTGCTTCCCATCTGACTGATCCCAGCGTGTACCAGTGGGATCACAAATTCGACAGTTCAGCTACAGCTTGGAAGCTCTTGCGGATGAGAGCGCTGGGGAGGGGCTGCCAGAAGAGGGAATTGCTGCAGTAACAGGTACGCTTCCTTCCACAGGAAGTTCACATCTCATTTTAAGAAGGGACAGACATGCTGTCAAAGAGCCACTGACAGAAGACAACTCAGATACTTTAAAAAAAAAATAATTAAAAAATTAATACCATTTGCCAACTGTCCCAGTGAGGCCACAGTGAGTTTTGTTTGTTTTTCTAAAAACAAAGGAAAATGAAGGGTTAAATTAATGGCTATCCTAGCAGATGCCACAAGCTGGAGGGGGCATACTGACCTAAAGAAATCTGCAGGCATTAGGGCCTAAAATCCAGAAACTGCAACAGTGAAGCCTAGGGAAGTGACTATGGCAGGCGCAGCCCCTGGCACATTAGTTCTCGCCACAGCAAAACAGGTCTAAAGCCGTAAGAGGAAGCACAGACACTGCTAACATTTACGGGGTCCTACAGGTCCTTCAGTCCACTGAACGAGATCAAATGAGTAAGCCAAGTGTTTCAACACCAAAACAACTGCACACCTCAGTTTTCAAACCAGCCTTAGACCTCAAGAGTGACAAAAGAGCAACAGCAAACCAGCAATTTACACATACACTTTCTGGTATGTGTAATTTATTATGATGTTTTGCCTATTCATTTCTGTAAAGCACTTTCATGTCCTCCTGAAAGCATTACAAAAGTGCCTGAAATCAGGAGTATACCACCTTGAAATTAAGAACCTGAAGTCAGAGTATTCTGTTTTAAAACACTTGAGAACACCTTGCAATATGGGCTTTCCATTTTTTTGGGTTATATCATTCCCTTATTTTTAGTTTAAAAACAAAAAGTGGCAAAGTCACCCAATATAAAAACATAGTGTTACTCAAACCAGTAAGGGAAGCACATTTCAGAAAAACTGCAGATGCTAGATTTAGCACTTGTCCGTCATGGAAGTAAAGGCTTGGAGAGACTTACTAAATCACTCCTCCCATCTTTCCATCATTATGGGATTGGCTAGTCTTAAATTACTAAGAAATTAGGTTATTGTGACAATATATGCAGACACCCACACTACTGAGCTTCAGCACTCAAGTGACTCATATTCCTATTTTTGGTAGAAGCAATAAGGAAGAAGTGAGCTTTTCCTCCTATCTACTCTTTGAGAGCAATCAAAGCATTACCTATCCTTTAACACTTTTAAAAGTCCCTAAACTAGTAAAAAGTTAGCATACTACCTACAGTTCAATAGTCATCGTTCCTAAACAGGAAGAGCTCCAGGAGCCTGCAAATGAAAGCCAAACATGGTTTTTGTTCAAGTTTGTTGTTGTTATTCAGTTGGCTGGCCAGGCTAGGCAGGCTGGGACTCGAATACTGTTAGGAACACGCTTTTCTGTTTACAGATTCCCAAGACAGATTCCTTAACATACTTCAGACGTGACTTTATTCAAAAAAGTGTTTATGTTGCTTCTTAATCAGTTGTCTTTAGAACCCAGCACCACCACAGGCCAAGCATCAAATCCTACCGCTTTATTACAGACCCTTGCAGATTCAAAATGAAGCTCACCCTTGGAAATCTTTTTCCATCTCCGTTGCAAATGCAAGATAAAGACAAGTGCAAGCTGACTTGCTGAAAAACAGACTATTCTATTGTTTTCAAGTCAACAGGATGGCATGAAGAGAGCTACCAAGCAGCTCACTTCATTAACAGCTTGATGTACTACTGACAAAACGTCATCAGAGATGTTAGACTAGAATCAACAGAATATTCGTGTTTACACACGACTTTGACAGCGGCAGCAACAGGTATATGAACTACAGTCTACAATGACAGAAGTTGCAAGTCTGTCTTAGGCAAGCGTATTATTTGTTAAGGCAAAAGGATGTTACAAAATGACCTTCTATCCCTTATTCCACAGAAGTGACACTTACTCATAAGACTGGTGCTATTTTTATATTGCAAAAGCAAGACGAGGCATCTGCACCCCCTTTCTAGAATAGGGCCTTCTCCTTTCTAACAAAGAAAAAAAAAATAAACCAAGCATACAGTTCTGAAGCTTTTCAGTGGTCCATGTATCTGTACTTGTCTGCCAACATGATTACTGGTTTTAACCAACATTTTTAAAAAATAAATCAGGCAAAAAGAAAAAAAGCTACACCACTAACTTTGAATGCAAAGTACTTACACCACAGAAGTACCATTTTGTGAGTTACCTTTTCAGTAATGCAGTTTCAGAAGTCCACCCCTTTAAGCATAGGATTTAAGGCAGACTTATACAACTACAGGAGGGAGGCTGGCCAATTCTGAGCAGCAAAACTTGCAGCAAGTACCAAACCACCACCGGAGAGGCAGATGGATGTGAAGATGCACGTTAAACACGGCTGCTCCTTCTCCTCTCCCCCCACTCCACCCAACCACCTCTCCCGGAGCGGCCGGGTACGCACAGCGGCGCACACCCGAGCTCGGACAAGAGGAGAAGGGTTAAACCCTTCCCCTGCAAACAGA